CCCCAAAACCCCAAAACCCCAAAACCCCATGGTGAGAATTTTTGATAGTCAGTTAATGATTATGAAATAAAGGGAAAAAATCTGAATGTCATGAGGACAATCGCATAAAAAATTAGTCAATTTTAAGAGTATCTCCTATTGTCAGCAGTATATTATTAATAGTCTCTGAGATTGCATTCCCAGAATTTCTCATCCAATCCAATGTTCTTGTCATGGAATATATGTCTGAGTTTGTTTGCATTCTTCTCTTTGAATTTATCTTTGTATATCTTGCTGATATCTTTGGATACCCCGGACTTTGTAACATTAGATGATGATTAATACTAGCTGAGATCATTTTTCAGAGATTTATCAATGCTGTTTTTGCTTTTAGAATTATTGCTAGTTTTTTCATCCTGATCTTGAACAGAATTACTGTTATTTCTGTAAATTGTAGAAAAATTTTTAACAGCAATTGTGTCCTATTTTTCTACTTTAGAAGTGGGCAGATATTTCCAAGGCTTGAGATGCTTGATATTAGTAAGTGGCTAGCTTGCTCTCAGGTTGGTCTCAAATTATACTTGACATAAGTTAGGAGAGCCAGATTGCCTATTCTTCAGTAAATGGGCAATCTCCTTGGTATCGCCATAGTAATCAAAATCAACATTACAGAAGTTAGTATTGCTCTACCTGCTTGGTACCCTTTTTAAGATTCCACCCACAACACTCTAACTCAGTCTGTTACTCTTCTAACTAACTTGGTGGCTAATACCTTTTTATAAGATAATAGTTCCTTAATTACCTTCAGCTAGCATTTGGTTGATTCCCAAACTCTTTTTAAGTTACAGCCTTCTTTTAATGCTTTCTTAGAATTTATCTTTGAATTTCTGCACATCATTTTCATAAAATGATGGAGGCCCTTTCTTGAATTTATTTCCTTAAGCATCTTTCTCAAGACTGTTTTCACTTTAGAAGCCCCCATTAAGTTTAGGATCTTTATTGTTCCTTAGAACAGACATAAAATTTATCTCATTTGCACTGAAATGCATATCCTCACTAAAATATTATTATAATGAGATATGATTACATTGTGTGATGTCTAATTCCAGAAAGTCGCTTATCCTATCCACTTGGAGATTAGCCCATTACAGAATTCCTGGAAGCATTGAACATTGATTTACTGTTGTCATTAGCAGAACCGTTACCGCCACTTATAAATTGATAATTCTGTTTCTTATGCGAATCAACTAATCGACTCAAGTCAGATCTCCTAGGTTCTAGATCCTTGAGGCTGATATCATTTGGCTTGATCATAAATGCCACTTAGTAGTCTATCTTGGGCAGCTCCTAAAATTGATTTGGTAGGTTTTAGTAAAATGAAGAAGAGACTGCAGATTTTCTAATACTAGTTGATTTGGTAGATTGGGCAATCAGATTTTAGTTATGGTAGTTTTTGTTTCGATCTGATTATAGCAATCCACTCACCTGACTCTTCCTTGTAGATTGTATTTATGAGCCTCTCTAATAGTTATTTATAAGGAAATAGTACTTAGTTAAATGATCAGTTGAGCTTTTTAGAGTTCTTTGCAGGGTTCGCTTTGATAAGGGGGATTTGACTTACTCTTGAAAAACTTGATTGCAGATCTTAGTATTCCATTATAAACTTTATTGAAATTTGTAATATAGAAAGAATCTAATTTTATTTCATTTTAAATCTATATAATGTGTGATGGGGTTTTGGGGTTTTGGGGTTTTGGGG